ATGTTGCGGTGGAGGAGAAAGTGGAAATGCCCCCATGCCTTCCCACCCCGAATGCAAAGCAGAATCTTAAATAGCAGTTGTGGGGCGCCTGGGTGGCTCAGTCGGTTAAGCGTCTGACTCTTGACTTCGGCTCAGGTCACGATCTCCAGGTTCGTGAGTTCAAGCCCCATGTCTGGCTCTGTGCTGACAGCGCGGAGCCTGCTTGGGATTCTCTCTCTCCCTCTCTCCCGGCCCCTCCCCTGCTTGCTCTCTCTCTCTCAAAAATAGAGAAATAAGCATTTTTTAATTAATCAATTAATTAATTAATTAATAGCAATTGCCCCCAAACCTGGGGGATAATCGACATTCTTTCTCTGGAAAGTCACAGTTGCAAATTTTATCACGTCTTTGATACGTAAACACCCCAGGAGTTAACCAAAACACTATCCACAGAGACTGAAGGAAAAAATCTGGGGGAGGGCGAGGGGAAGCGTACAGATTGCTCTAGAATAGAAGTTTCCTTGTCCAAAGCCTGGCCCACAGCCTTCCTAAGATTACTCATCAAAGGCTAAGTTACAGGGTCTCTGCCTGTTTCTACGTTTACATATGTCTATGGATATGGGCTAAGTATACATGCTTTTCTACCTTCTGAAGGTATTACCAAAATTAATTTGTACAAGAGCTCTATTTAATCAGCTTAAAAGTAAGCTATATATCAAAGTGCACTTAGGTAAAATTGAAATTTCATTTGCTCTCACCGCCATAAAGGATAACAGTTTCTTGAACTATCAGTCCATTCTTGATGGGATGGTCAAACAAAGATACTGTGTTTTATTGAAATAATTTCAGGGCATCTGGGTAGCTGAGTTGGTGAAGTGTCCGACTTCGGCTCAAGTCATGATCTCACAGTTCATGAGTTCGAGCCCTGCGTCGGGGTCTATGCAGACAGCTCAGAGCCTGGCGCCTGCTTTGGATTCTGTGTCTCCCTCTTTCTCTGCCCCTCCCCTGCTCTGCTTCTCTCTCTCTCTCTCTCTCTCAAAAATAAACATTTAAAAAACAATAAAATAATAATTTCCTATACTTCATATAGTCTTGATCAGGTCTTTGATTACTTAAGAAAAAAGCAGAGTCTTCTCTATTAAAAGAGCTATGTTTTTGGTTTTTAGTTTTGTTTCTGTTTTTGTTTTTTTTCTACAAGCATGCAATTTCTATACTTGCCTTTGAGGCCTTTAATTGTCATTTTGGTTAAATGGATAACTGAATATTGTTTCACGACGACCCGCGATCCTATGCGACCGTGTATTTTAAAACCTTTTGACTGAAGTCTATATTTTATTCACATTTCCTTACTTTTTTTTTT